GGAAGAAGGGTCTAGGCCCGAAACGTCAGCTTTCCTGCTCCTCTGATGCTGCTTGGCCTGCTGTGTTCATCCAGCTCTACACCTTGTTATCAATAATCTGCCTTCTTGTTTTTGCTTCAAAAGTGAATAACCTCTCATTTATCGAAATTATACTGCATCTGCCATTGATTTGCTCACTCACCCAACCTGTCGAAATCATGCTGAAGGATCTCTGCATCCTCATCACAGTTCACCCTCCCACCCAACTTGGTATCATCTGCAAACTTGGAAATGTTGCATTTTGTTCCTTCATCCATATCATTAATCTATATTGTGAATAGACAATAAATTGATTAGCCTTTTCTTTTAGAATGTAATTAAAGGTTCTCATCTGTTAAATGGAAACATTTTGAATGGAGTCTACACAATGTCATGACATGTACAAACTGTAAACGTTCAACCTTACCTCCCCAGTCATTTCCCTCTATCCAAACTTGTCTTGTATGGTAGACAAGTACACAACATTTAATGGCACACAAGAAATCTAATAAATTATAGTCATCTTGCTGATATGTAAATACAGGTGCAGATCGAACCTGGGTTAACTGGTCTGGTTTCAAATATATTTCAATATATTCAGTGGGCTGCTAAATCTTTTGGAATACAAGTCCAACAATTATTGAAAAACCAATAGGAACAGAACTGTGTACCAAACATCCTTCAATAATGCATATTGCTTAATATGTGCTAAATGCTAATTTCCTGGCGCTCTGGAACAATGACAATGTAACAATATTAAAGCAACATTCCCTTGTACACAGTGTTTCAATGCTGCAGGAAGACGGCCAGTATCATCAAAGACCCATCCCACCCCGGTAATAATCTCCTACAACCTCTTCCGTCAGGCAGAAGATACTGAAGTCTGAACAAACGCACAAGCAGGTTCAGGAACAGCTTCTTTCTGGCCGTTATCAGACTGTTGAATGGACTCTTGCCTTAAATAATGCAACTTGCAATGTAACCTTTATGCCTCCAAGCCTTCTTGATCTGCAAGTCCTTTGCTTACTGTGATCTGCCTGTACCGCTCGTAAACATAGCTTTTCACTGTATTTGAGTGCACGTGACAGTAAAATCAAAATCAAAAATCAAGTTAGTACACATGTTCTACCTAGGAAATAGTCTCGGAGGCTTTTGAGACCAACCGCAAATCTTTCAGTTAAGCATACTAGATGATTATTAATTAACATAAATGTTCTATATTCTTCTGTTTGACTCTGACTAGTGACATAACTGTTCTTTGAATTCTGGCCATTCAGTTCTTGGTTCCATTTATGAATGGATTAAACTTATTATTTATAAATCCTTCTTGTATTATTGTATTCTGGGGTATTAAATTCGGTATATCTGGAAGTATCTGAGTCATGCTTAAATCACGTCAAAAGATTTTCTTGACTCAGCATGTTGAAGATATTTAACTTTCTGTTCAGGACTGGTCTTTGGAGAAGAGATTTTTCAATGAAGTTGTAATTGAAATGATACTTTTTAACAAGGTTATAAAGCAGCTATTCATTTTTATCTCATGGAGTGGGTGTTCCCAAAGCAACAGATGAGTATTGCCATTAAAAATGGCAGCCATCATCTACCTGCACATGTACAGTCACACCTGTAAAGTCATGCTGTGTGTGTGAAAGAAAGAGAACAGTGGTAAAGAGTTGCTTGTTAGGAGGAAGTCTGCAGGAACACTGTCAAACCATTTAAGTTACTTATACTATTGCTCAACACAAATGAATCAACAATTGCTTTTTCTTATTTGCTTTTGACAACAAGGAGAGGAAAGGGTATGGTTAGATGATGTACATGTCACCATTAAGCTGTGGAAGGAATATGAAGACATTACTAATGTTACCAGATGATCAAGTTTCACTTTAATTTTGTGGATGAGTGTATAATGCTCAATCTAATGCTGGCACAAACATTGCCTTTATTCCATACATTAGTTTTCAAATGAATACTTTAAATACAGACTAATAATTTGTCAGGTCAATAAAGTATAAACGCGCAATTCAGATAGGTTAATAATAATTGGAAGACAACTGAATTCCCATTCATGAGGGACAAATCTGACAGTCTAGGTCAAGTAGTACTTGGCATTCCCAACCGAGAATTCAGCCTAGCAATCACCCGAGAACAGATTTTGAAGGGTCTTGATTTGCACTGTGATGGAAGAGAGGGAATTTGCTTCGCCGTACAAATATCAAAGCAGAAATACAGCTGCAAGTCCCAATTACAGCTTGGATGTTTTTACCTTGCGATCAAAAATTTCAGCCATCAATTCAGCAGTGTTGCAGTTGATTGTGAGAGAAGCAGCGTAATACCACCCTTAGCAATTTGGAAGCTGCAATCAAGTGCTGTTAATCTAGATCTCTACTAAAACTGCCACTGACTTTTCTCTGACAGTTGCCTTAACAGAGTATGAATAGCATTTACACATGTTGAAACACTGGTAAAGCACCTGTTCCAGAAGTCCAACAGCGAATTTTAGGTCTGGAGCAGAACATGCTCCTCTCAGTAATATACAATCAAGCCCAAAGAATAACATGACAACTAGTTTAGGCACATAAAGGAGATTTACCATCAGTTAAAGACCTGAAAATAAATGCAAACAAATTTTGCCCTTTTTATTGATAAAATATTGCCAGTTGAGGTTTTTGTCCATAGACTCAGCTCTTTTATTAGTAGAATACATGCATGTGGGTAATGCAAGCTGATAGGAAATATTTGATATACACCCAAAGAAGTTTGCTTTATGATAAAGTCAATGCCAGTACTCAGTGATAATAAATTGGTTTGACTTGGTCATAAAGCAAACTTCTTCAGTCTCTGCCTTTTTTTAAAAATTACAGATAAATAACTAAATGGGATACTGACTACAACAATATAAAAGTAAAATACTGACAATGTTGGAAATCTGAAATTAAAACAGAAAATGCTGCAGGTCATGCAGCACCTGTGGAGAGAGAAACGGTTAGCACGTCAGATTGGTGACCTTTCATCAGCTCTGAAATGACAAATGTTTCTCTATCCACAGATGTTGTCTAATATTTCCATCATTTTCTGTTGTTTATGGGACAATGGAGACCTACTTTCTGCTTATGTATACCCATTGTTAATAGGTGTCTCTTTTCAGAGTGCTGTAAAACAGGTAATACATTGGAATTATATGCCAGGCAGGGTCTTTAAGACAGTGACACTGAATTATCAAGTTATAGAGCTCACATCCAGTTAAATCAAAACTCCTGTAATACATTAATTACATTCGGCTTGATTAAAAAGCATTCATAAGAATTGCATCTGTTTGGAATAATGAATTATTCATCTCATCTTTTTAGTTAAATGTGACATGTTTCACTGATGCAAAATGTCTTCTGGATAAGAAAATAGGCTCAACTATTAGTTGTACCTTGGTAAGAGCTCCAGAGTGGAAGGTCCATCGAATATTATTGCTGTACTGAACTCTCACATCTCCTCGGTCAGTTATTCTGTGCACTGTACCAGTCCGCCCAATATACTATACGAAAGAAGATGGGGATTAATTTATTCAGAACAGCAAGTGTGAACTCTGACATACTGAAATTCTGAAGCAGAAAAATTGTCCTGTTCCCTGTCGCTATCTTGTAGCTAACAAGCAGTGAAAAACTGACAAATGTGCCATTCATTGTATAGCTTGTTTATAATGGTTTGAGATCACTATTATTATTGCAACATTTAATTGTTATTTCAAGCCCTTGATGTGGAATCTGGGAACGTTTGAACTTGACCACATTTTTTGATTGGTTTCAGGCTTTTCCTTTCGTTTCTTTTTCTGCAAATTTTCTCATAAATTAATTGCTGAATCTTCTCAAATTTGGACAAATTTTCAGTTGCACTCTAAATCACTGCACCTATTTTGAGATTCAGCCCAATAGTCAGACAACACCTTGGGCACGACTTCCTGCTACAAAGATGTAAATCACATCCAGGCTCAAAAGGAGAGCCCTGAGCCAATCGAGGATAAGGGAAAGCTGGTGAAACCTGCCCATCACTTTGAAGGGAAATAATCGTGTGGATCTGAGAGGTATATAAATAGTATGGACATACAAATCAAAAACTGTGAAAGGCCCAAACTAGAAAACGGTAACAAAAGAATAAGATTTTTATAAGTATGTTCATTTATGCAGCCCCATCAACAAAATAAATCCATGGTATTTTGAAAAGACTGAGTCAGACAAAAAGTAGAAACTGGGATAGAGAAGATTGGAGCCAGGAGTTCCCAAAAACCTTGGTTAAAAAAGTAAATATTAAGAGGGTCCCTAGAGGAGAAGAAATACATGAAAAGGCACATGAGTTTTGAGAACACATTCCAGAGCGTGGGAGACCTGCACAACTATAGGCATGATGTTAACGATGGGGAGGATTGATGGGGAAGGTGGGAAGGCACCAAAGTCCAGGCAGTACATAAATGAAAAGTTAGAGGGAGTAGTGGACAGGTTGTAGAGTTAGAGAAGGATACATAAGTCACTCATGGCTTTTCCTAAACACTCATATGCATTGGATTTCCTGTCTCACCATGAAACAGATCCACAAGCTGTAAAGAGACAGTAGTGTAGAGATTGGTGAGCAAGACTTGGTACTCTTCAATCCTGAATCTAGACTGTGAGACATCCAAGGTCTTCAGATCAAACTATGGCAAGGAAACCTGATGATTACCACCTACCATTTTGCCTGGATTCTTGAATCAGTGTTCAATACCATTTGGAGAATGCACTGAGGGTAGCATGAGCAGAGAATACACTCACTGGTGAACTTCAGCAACCATAAGCAAGAGTGGGATGGTATCAACACCACTGACAGACACAGCAGCTAAAATGAAACTTGTAGCAGGTGAATACAGAACCAATCAGGGAATAAGCTAATAATGGTACTGCCCATTAACAGTTTTGGGTATGGTCACCGCTGCCCACCTCTCAGGAACATGCCATTTTATCTCCACACTAAAGACCCATTCCACCATGGTGCATTTTACCATCATGCTGATGGTCTAGACTAAGAACTAGTTAGTAGTTCTTAAATTAGCATCCAACGTAGTGTGAGCTATCAGCAGAATGACATCCCTCTAAAATCTGTAACTGGTGGATATTCTTCAATGAGTGGCTGGCATCCTACATCGCAGGAGCTTCCCCTCTACCTACAAGGCACAAGTCAGAAGACTGATGAAACACTGTTGTGGACAAACACAGTTGCAAAACCTTGTAACAATTTCAATACTATCCAGGGAAAAGCAGTGACCTTACACAGCATAACTTCTACTACCTTAAACATTCAATTTCTCCACTATTAACATATTGCAGTTGTAGCGGATACGGATGTACAAATTACACTCTAGCAACTTGGTAAGGTTTTTCAGCAGCACATCCCAAATCTGCATCCTTCATCAGGTAAAGTTTTCTTTCATTCATTCACAGAAGGAGGGCATTGCTGGCCAGGCCAGAATTTATTGCCCATCCTGAATTGCCCAGAGGGCAGTTCAGTGTCAACCACATTGCTGTGGGTCTGGAGTCACAATGTAGGCCAGGCCAGGTAAGGATGGCAGTTTCCTTCCCTAAAGGGCATTGGTGAACCAGATGGGCTTTTCCAACAATCAACAATGAATTCAGGATCATCATTAGCTCTTAATTCCAGATTTTATTGAATCCACAGCAGCATTTGAACCTAGGTCCCCAGAACAGGAGGAAGGGTCACTGGACCCGAAACATTAACTCTGATTTTTCTTCACAGATGCTGTCAGACCTACTAAGCTTTTCCAGCATCTTCTGTTTTTGTTCCTGATTTACAGCATCTGCAGTTCTTTCATTTTTCACCCCCCACCCCAACCAAGAACATTACTTTGGTGTCTGGATTAACAATCCAGCAATAATACCACTAGGCCATCGCCTCTCCCTCGAGGACAAAATCAAGGGCAACAGATGCATATCAAGGTCCCTTCAAGTCATATATCAAGGTAATGTGAAGATATTTCGCTGTTCCTTTATTGAAAGGGAGTCACATTCCTGAAACTACCAGTGCCTGCACCAACTGTAGTGGCTTAAGATGGCATCGCATCACCACCTTCTGAAGGGCAACTAATAATGCCAGCTTTGCCAGTGAAACCCATATCCTGAGAATGAAAAAATGATTGAAGATTAATTTGTAATAAAGCAGATATAAAAATATACAAGCTTACCAATCTATGTGTCTATATTCCAAGAACTAATTCAAATGAAGGGATTATATTAACTTGAAACAAAGTGAAAGTAAAACATTAAAAAATGAGGAGAGAGATAGAGAGGCAGAGAACCTGGTATGAATAGGAGCTTTAAAAAAGTGTTTCCAACCTTGAAAGACAGGATCCACTGCACAATATTTCAAGTTATAGAAGGCCAGGAGAGGATGATCAAATTAAAAAGAACAAATGGAGAAGGAAGGAGAAAAGGACAAGCAGAGTTGAAGTGTTTAATTTGAAATTGTAGTTAAAATGGTGTTTAAAAGTCAGACACTGTGTCTCATGGTTACTATTACAGGAACAAAGCAATTCTTAAAACTAGGTTGCAGGAACACCACCTCATATTTCGCTTGGGAACCCTGCAGCCCAATGGTATCAATGTGGACTTCACAAGCTTCAAAATCTCCCCTCCCCCTGACCGCATCCCAAAACCAGCCCAGCTCGTCCCCGCCTCCCTGACCTGTCCGTCCCTTCTCCCACCTAACCCCTCCTCCCACCTCAACTCCCATCCCCACCTCCTACCTACCAGCCTCACCTCTGTCTCCTTGACCTGTCTGTCTTCCCTTGACTGACCTATCCCTATCCTAACTCCCCATCTACACTCATCTTTACTGGCTCCATCCCCGCCTCCTTGACCTGTCCGACTCCTCTCCACATATCTGCTCCTTCATCCATCTTCCATCCGCCTCCCCCTCTCTCTCTATTTATTTCAGAATCCCCCTCCCCTGCCCCATTTCAGACCTGAAACGTCAGCTTTCCTGCTCCTCTGATGCTGCTTGTGTTCATCCAGCTCTACACCTTGTTATCTCAGATTCTACAGCATCGGCAGTTCTTACTATCCCTTAAAACTATTAAACCTTTATTTACAGAAAGTATGTTAAGAGTGTATTTTAGCACCGACAGGTTGCCAGTCCTGAAGAAATGGAATATTTCAAAGATGCTGACAGCATTGAAAGCTACCTCAGCCATTTTAGGATTCCATCCTCCATGTCCTTCCTGCATCTGGCGAAGAATATCTACATCAAGAAGGCATTTCACCTTGTCATTGTGCTGGAATGAGTGGCCATCAGCACTCTCTTGCCTGGGGAGTTCAACATGTTCACCTGAAAGAAGAACAGTAAATCGCAATGTGAGAAGCTCATGAACGTTTCAAGAAGCGCGGCTGCGTTTTGACATTACCATAAAGCATAACCTTGCAAGCTCTATATTAAATCTCAACAATACAATTATTTCTAAACAATTTAAAAACTAATCAAAAATTGAGAGAAATCTGAAATAGCCTGACATTTTTCTACAGATATATTTTTACGGCTACTCATTTGCTCATTCCCAAGGTGTAAAACAAAACTGGCCTCAACTGCTGCCAAAGCAGAATCGGATTAAAATAAAATGACCCAACCAAGTCTGATACAAGAGGAAAATACTGCAGATGTTAGACACACTCAACAGGTCTGGCAGAACAAGAATGATGAAAAGGTCACAAATGTAAGACGTTAATGCTGCCTCCCTCTCCACAGATGCTGTCAGACCTGTTCTGTATTTGCAGTATTTTCCATTTTTATTTTGTTATTACCAAATAAGCTCACAGAATGTTGCAAAGAATGCCTAGAAATTGACCTTAAATAAAAAAACTTCAAATTTTGCAGCTTGCAGCAGCTTTCACGACCTGAGAACATTCTAAAGTGCTTCTCAAGCAGTGAATTACTTTTCAAAAAGAGAGGATGCCAAGCAGAGAGATATTTCACTCAGTTAGTACACAATGAGATTCCAGAAACAGCAATGAAGACAAATGACTAGATAGCTGATATTGCTGCTGTTGATTTCAGGATAAATGCTGTCGTAACGCCTGGGAGATCTACCCTGTTTCCTCAGTCAGTGCTATTGGATTTATGATGTCTAACCGAGAGAGTAATGAAGCTTGGTTTAGCTTTTTTCAATCCTGCCCCAAATGTCAGCCTGAGTTATACGCTCAAATCTCTGGAATGAGGCTTGAACCAACAATTTTCAAACTCAGAGCTAACAGTGCAAAACACTGAGTCAAAGCTAAAAATCAGAAATAGTATGGGCTGAAAGTGAAAGAAAAAGGTATTACTAAATGGCAATAGCAACATGCTTTGAATATTATTTTGCAAGAAATTAGTGAAAGACTATAATTTAAATCTCCCAGTCTAATGTTACTGTGTCCACAATTAACGTGGATCTTCCAGAATGTTTTTGAAATGCAGTGGCCCAGAAAGACTGGATAGGGTAGACTGAAATTTGTCTCAGTATTCAACAAGTCAAAGTAGATTAATCTGTACACGAGAAAAAATAAAAGCTGCAAATGCATCTGTTGTCTTATAATTCAATTTTTGTTCTGTTTTTACAATGTCTCAGCTATTTAAATTACATTTCCATCACTAACTGTGGTTGAACACATATACAACATGCAAAGACGACATACTGTAAGTGTACGTGTAACATATTTCAACTATACTCAGAAATTAAAGCTGCCTTGGTTTCCACTTGAAAGAAACTTTTAACACGTGGCAAAAAACAACTGGATATTTTTGCTGCAATTTTGGTTTCAGCAGAATAGCCAAGTTCTATGATCATTGTTGATTAAATGCCAGTAATGAGAGAAGCCAACTTTCAAAAAAGACTCTCAATCCTAGAGCTCCAAATCATTGACAGAATTGGGCAGATGAGAACTTAGGACCAGTTTTTTAAAAGAAAATCCTAAAATTGCCAATTGTTAGCTCAAAAATGGTGAAGTTATTTCTCATTTACTGACTAACTGAAATTACAACTGTATATATTTTAAACAGACTGCATAATTAAATGCAAAGGAACTTCAGACATTTAATCCTCAACCTGCAGAAAACTATGCACTGCTTTTTAAAACTGGAGCTAGGGTGGGAACATTGGTTGTGTTCTGGCAACATAGAGCCACTTCCAGCAGACCATGCCCAAAAGCAGGCTTAAAAGTCCTGGAAATCAAACTGCAGCTCCCGATTGATTGCTTCAGAGAAATTGACGTTTGCGAAACTGCTGGGCCTCACCTCCCCATCATTTAAATCTGGCATGAACTGCACAGCAGTTTGTCACACAGATCTGATGTGCAGCTGCAAGGTTTGAGGACAGCTGATCTAACTCCAATATGCCACTTCTTGCAGTAACATTAGCACAGAAAGGGGAGGGGGCACACCAAGGAAAGACTTGTGTCCACTGAGAGAGCACTTTAGATCAGGAGCAGAAAGAGGTGTAGACCTGGCAGAACGGAGGTCAAAACTGAAAATGTTTTGTCCAGTGCAGGTTAGATGATTAGTTCAACGCTAAAGCTGAGGAATATTAGTCTTCTGTTGATTCTGTAAAGAATAGAGGTTGATGGTTTCATTATTTGGAAAATTCTGCTGCCAGTTGGAGGTGTTCAGCTGGAACAACTTAGTTGCCTGCCCTCACTCTGTTCCTTGCTATAATTGCGCTACTTGATAAGTGCAGATGAGAGTTTGAGGTCAATGGAAGTAAAATTCAAGAAAGGTGGACAACTGCTGTCTGAATTGTTATTAGCCATTTTACAGCACCACTCCAGGCAATAACAATCTTTTGAAATTGGTGATATGTAGCTTTTATTCCTGCTTGCAGTGGACAACAATCACAGACACTATTTGAATAGTGAAATCACAACTGAAATCCTGGAGTTTTGCTTCTTTCACAGGTCAGAGAGGAAATTCATATAGCTTCACCTCCATGGAAGTTTATTTACAGAGAAATTAATCATCTGAATAGCGTATATGACATAGTCAACCGATGTGATGTGGGTTCTTTGGGCCAAATGTCTTTTAGTCATTCGTATCTATATCTTTCTCATGATTAATCAAATCCACTTCAACTGCATGCAAGCACATATGTGCACCCACAGTACTAATTCACCCCAAACTCAACACGCATTCTAATGAAATTATGCACAATTGCTAATGCTGTGTTCATTTATATCTGTAATGTTTTCTAACTGTTAGAACTACTTGCAAAATCTAAGTCTCTATTTGGTTTTGAAATGGGGCCTTCAGCTGACAGCATCATATTTCATAGTCTATTCATCGGGTAAATTGATAGAAAGAAAACAGGATGCTTCATGCTTTGCCAAAATATATCTAGTAACCTGCCCAAGAACTTGTACAGGACTTTGTGATCTCCATTAGACAGCTACAGATACGCCTGGAAGCAATATCAACATTTGCAGACGACATCAAAAGCAGGAGCATAACAAACCAAAAGGAAGAACGTCAAAAAACATCTGGGTCCCAGTTAGGTATGTAACAAGCACAGTTCAACACTGATAAGTAGAAATCAATAGTTTAGTAAGAATAATAGGGAATATAGACAAAATGGCATATTTCTTAAAGCAGGTAAACAGAAGGTTTTAAATGCAACCAGACAGTTTTAAAAGCAGATTACATGTAGAAAATGCAATAATGAGGGTATATGGGATTTTGTGTCGTTCATACATTGAACTCTAAACAGGTGACAATGAATTTACTCATTGCACTGATTAAGTTCCGAAGGGTGTACTGTGTGCAGTTTCAGATATCCCTTTCAAAACGATATTAATCGCCATTTACAATTCATCAGGATGGTCACGAAGAAAAACCAGGGTAAAACTTGCTACAGCAGAGAATATATAAAATGGTAAGTAGAAAAATATTGGGTCTGGCAGCATCTATGGACAGAAATCAAAGTTAATGGAGTTCTGAGGAAGGGTCACTCGACCTAAAATGTTAACTCTGATTTCTCTCCACAAATGCTGCCAGACCTGCTGAGATTTTCCAGCAATCTCTATGTTTTTTCTCTGATTTACAGCACCCATAGTTCCTTCAGTTTTTGGAAAAATATTAGGTCCGTGTTTCAGTAATACAGTGGGATTAATTTAGGATAATTACCAAAATAAAAATACATGAAATTATACCTTTATTCCTCACAATATGGGGAATCTCTCAGAATGTGGAACTCATTAATAGTAATAACCACTGATAGTGAAGCAATCATAATGTTTAACAGGAAGTCATGAAAACAAAAGAAATTTAAAGGACACCATATAACAGCAAAGGGAATGGAATTACACAGGGTAACCCTGATATGAAGCTGGTATTGTTATATGAAGCCAACTGTCCTCTTTTTCTACTGAACTCAACACAATATACGACAAAGGACTGTTAGAAATAAATCAAATAAAGTACACTAAAATGGCAATGATTTGTGAAGATGTGTTTGGCTGACCTCATCCTGAGCTTGCAAGATACTGACACCATCATTTCTATAGAAATGTGATTACAACAGAAATGATTCACAGCGGCAGTTTCTCGCACCAAGCAAGCCAGTATCACTTTAAAGCTACAAAACAAAGATCCAGTGCCAGCAAATTGCTTTGAACAGCGCTACTCAATTATTAATCAAGTCTGTCTTCAGTACACACTGTTTTGATTTAAACTGATAAAGCTCCATTTGTATAGAAATCTTGGCATCACATTGGTCTGATTTTAGACAACTTCTTCCGCTGGCAAAAAAAAATCTTCTTCTCTTGTAGTTTCCTGGGTCCCAAATTTTTTCACAACCAACAAAGCGTAATTGATGTTTTGAAGGCACTACCAAAATAGCTCAATAACTAACCACCAGATGGTATATCTGAGCAACGCAAGTTGATCAATTCTCAGATGATCAGGCCAACAGTTTAGGTGGAGCAGCAACCTGCTGAGAGTTTTTAACATTTTGGGCAGGAAAATGAATACAAAGTGAAACCTTACTGGGACTGTGAGCTGAGATTTGCAACACAAAAGAGAGATACTTCGCATTACATTCACAATACAAAAGTTACACACCACAGACACAATGACACCCACTTCTAGGAATAAGCGGAGATGTCAAAAAGGTAATCATATTTCGAAAATCTACACATCAGAAAATGCAAGCACTTTAGTCAAGAGGAGAGGTGCAGACTAAATATGACTTCACAAGTACAATGTGGAGCTCAAGATCAACAAAAAGGGTCAACAGGTACATATTGTTCAACATAAATTCGCTGCTGATATAACCTTATAGAAACAATCCAAACATACCTAGTTTTGGCAAATGATCTTTGTAGTAGTAGCCTCCTGCAGAATCTGTGACATACTTTAAATCAACCTTTCCTTTGTGGCCCATTCGATAGACGTTGGTTGTCCCGTTTGACCAGGTGACACTCGAAACACTTCGCCCTGACTCAGTATCCCAGCCACGAATATCAACTACTTTCCCAATTTTGCCTTCCCCACCTACAAAGCAAAATAACTAATTAATTATGCACTTTTGTAAAATTAAAGTCATTCATCTTGTTCACAATTAATGACTGCCACATAGGGCCAAAAGTAGCAGAAAATGTAAGTTTGCAGGTGCTCCATGGTTAAATTTAAAATACTAACTTAAGAAGTTTTGAATCCTGGTTAAAAAGAGCAAGATCTGTAGTTTGGAAATAGAACTATCAAACAGTGCCAGGATCTGACAATGCTTGTACCATGGACTCAGAATGTGAATCAAACTCCCCCCATGTCACCATGAACAAAATCTGCATTCAAGTTTGAAATCCATTAGACATAGGAGCAAAACTAGACCATTCAATCCATCAAGTCTGCTCTGCCACTCAATGAGATCATGGCTAATCTGATACTCAATTCTAATTTCCTGCCTTATCCACATAAATTTTGTTTTATTCATACATGGGATGTGAGCATTGCTGGTTGGGCCAATATTTATTGCCTGTCCCTAGCTGCCCTTGAGAAGGTGGTGGTGGGCTGTCTTCTTGAACTACTGCAATCCACGTGCTGTGGGTACATTCAGAATGCCCTTAGGGAGGGAATCCCAGGATTTTGACCCAGCGACAGTGAAGGAATGGCGATATAGTTCCAAGTCAGGATGGTGAGTACCTTGGAAAGGAACTTGGAGGTGGTGGTGTTCCCATATATCTGCTGCCCTTGTCCTTCTAGATGGAAGTGGTTGTGGGTTTGGAAGGTGCTGTCTGAGGATGTTTGGTGAATTTCTGCAGTGCATCTTTGTAGATGATACACACTGCTGCTACTGAGCGTTTGAGGTGGAGGGAGTGAATGCTTGTGGATGTAGTACCAATAAAGCAGGCTGTTTTGTCCTGGACGGTGTCCAGCTTCTCAAGTCTTCTTGGGGCTGCACTCATCCAGGCAAGTGGGGAGTATTCCATCACACTCCTGACTTGTGCCTTGTAGATGATAGACAGGCTTTTGGGAGTCAGGAGGCGAGTTACTCGCCACAGTATTCCCAGTTTTTGACCTGCTTTTATAGCCAGTGTTTATGTCGGGAGTCCAGTTGAGTTTCAGGTCAATGAAAACCCCAGGATGTTGATGGTGGGGCTTCAGTGACGGTAACAATGTTGAATGTCGAGGGATGGTGGTTAGATTGTCTCTAATTGGTGATGTTCATAGCCAGGCATTTGTGAGGTGCGAATGTTACTTGCCACTTGTCAGCTCAAGTCTAGATATTGTCCAGATCTTGTTGCATTTAAAAACGGACTGCTTCAGTATCTGAGGAGTCACAAATGGTGCTGAACATTGCATAATCATCAGCGAACATCCCGACTTCTGACCTTATGAGAGAGGGAAGGCCATTGATGAAGCAGCTGAAGATGATTGGGCCTAGGGCACTACCCTGAGGAACCCCTGCAGAGATGTCCTGGAGCTGAGATGATTGACCTACAATAACCACGACCATCTGCCTGTGTCAGGTATGACTCCAACGACCGGAGCATTTGCCACCAATACCCATTGATTCCAGTTTTGCTAAGGCTCCTTGATGCCACACTCGGTCAAATGCAGCCTTGACATCAAGGACTGTGCCTCCCACCTCACCCCAGGAATTCAGCTCTTTTGTCCATGTTTGAACCGAGGCTGTAATGAGGTCAGGAGCTGAGTGGTCCTGATGGAACCCAAACTGGGCGTCACTGAGCAGGTTATTGCTCAGCAGGTGCTGCTTGATAGCACTGTTACTGACACCTTCCATCACTTTACTGATGATCGAGAGGAGACTGATGGGGCGGTAATTGGCTGGTTTGGATTTGACCTGCTTTTTATGTACAGGACATACTTGGGCAATTTTCCACATTGTTGGGTAGATACCAGTGTTGTAACTGTACTGGAAGAGCTTGGCTAGGGGAGCAGCAAGTTCTGGAGCACAAGTCTTCAGTACTATTGCCGGAATGTTGTCAGGGCCCGTAACCTTTGCAGTATTTAATGTTTCCAACCGTTTCTTGATATCACATGGAATGAATCAAATTGGCTGAAGACTGGTATCTGTGATGCTGGGGACCAGTGGAGGAGGCCGAGATGGATCATTCACTCGGCTCTTCTGGCTGAAGATTGCTGCAAAAGCTTCAGCCTTATCTTTTGCACTGATGTGCTGGGCTCTTCCATCATTGAGGATGGGGATATTTGTGGAGCCTCCTCCTCCAGTGAGTTGTTTAATTGTCCATCACCATTCACAACTGGATATGGCAGGACTGCAGAGCTTAGATCTGATACGTTGGTTGTGGGATCGCTTAGCTCTGTCTATCATTTGCTGCTTTCGCTGTTTGGCGTGCAAGTAGTCCTGTTTGGTGGCCTCACCAGGTTGATATCTCATCTTCAGGTATGCCTGGTGCTGCTCCTGGCATGCCCTCCTGCACTCTTCATTGAATCTGGGGTGGTTCCCCTGGCTTGATGGTAATGGTTGAGTGGGGGATATGCCAGGTCATGAGGTTACAGATTGTGCTGGAGTACAATTCTGCTGCTGTTGATGGCCCACAGCGCCTCATGGATACCCAGTCTTGAGTTGCTAGATCTGTGCGAAGTCTGTCCCATTTAGCACGGTGATAGTGCCACACAACATGATGGAAGTTATTCTCAAAGTGAAGACAGGACTTCTTCTCCACGAGGACTATGCGATGGTCATTCTTACTGATACTGTCATGGAAAGACTCAGCTGCAGCTGGCAGATTGGTAAGGATGCGGTCAAGTATGTTTTTCCCTCACCACCTGCCGCAGACCCAGTCGAGCAGCTATGTCCTTTAGGACCCGACCAGCTCGGATTTGCTGCCGAGCCACTCTTGGTGGTGGACGTTGAAATCCCCCACCCAGAGTATATTTTGTGCCCATGCCACCCTCGGTGCTTCCTCCAAGTGTTGTTCAACATTGAGGCATACGGACTCGTCAGCTGAGGGAGGACGGTACATGGTAATCAGCAGGTTTCCTTGCCCATTTTAATCTGTAGTCATGAGACTTCATGGGGTCCAGAGTCAATGTTGAGGACTTACAGAGCAACTCCCTCCCGACTGTAAACCACAGTGCCACCACCTCTGCAGAGTCTGTCCTGCCGGTGAGACAGGACATATCCAGGGAGGGTGGTGGTGGTGTCTGTGACATTGCTTGTAAGGTATGATTCTGTGAGTGTGACTATATCAGGCTGTTGCTTGACTAGTCTGTGAGACAGCTCTCCCAAATTTTGGCACTAACCCCCCTGGTTGTTAGTGAGGAGGACTTTGCAGGGTCAACAGAGCTTTTCCGGTGCCTAGGTCGTTGCCAGTTGATCCGTACAGTTTCATTTTTTTGAGACTTTGTAGTGATTGGTACATCTGAGTGACTTGTTAGGCCATTTCAGACGGCAATTGAGAGTCAATTACATTGCTGTGGGTCTGGAGTCACATGTAGGCCAGACCAGGTGAAGATGATTGATTTCTTTCCCTGAAGGACATTAGCGAACCAGTTGAGTTTTTCCAACAATCGACATTGATTTCATGGCGATCAATAGATTCTTATCAATTCCAGATTTTTAAAATTGAATTCAAATTCCACCACTTGCCGTGAAACCTGGGTCCCCAGAACATGAGCTGAGTTTCTGGATTAATAGTCTAGCAATAATACCACTAAGCCATCGTCTACCCACAAACTGAGCTGACAAAAACAATATGCTCACCATCTTGATTGCCCCAATCCCAATCCGGTCCTCGAACAACTTTACTGCCCTGGAAGATCCCCCTTAGTACAATTCTTGGTAAATTCTGCCGTGGACCAACAGGAACACTGCAAACAAAGGGAATACAAAAATAAGAAATCAAAACCGTAAACAAACAGCCTGCAATAGGAGTATCCCAATTTGCAAAAAGCACATGAACATTCTATTAATTTCCAAAGCTCCAGGCTTAATCAATTTCAGATAACATTAAATATTAAGAATGAGAGATCTTTCTATCATCTTAAATATCTCAATTAAATTATGAACTAGTCATTTCTTAGTAGTTATCAAAATTTTCTAATGAACTAGTGCCATCTATAGTTTCTTATCAACATAAAATTAAGTAGATCTCGAAAAAGCAAATTATTTTTAGGAACTTTCTACTGGACAAATAATTATTCCATTTAAAATTTATAGTCGAAGCAAAAGCAAAGGGCATTTTGTTTGGCAGCTTAGCTGTTAATTAACAGATTCTAAAATATGTGCATAGTATTTGCATCAAGAAACTTCTGTACATTTAAGATTTGTATTTTAAACAGAAATCAGGTTGACAGATTCTTAACTTGTAGCATATATGTTACTATATTTCAGTTCCTGTGCCATTGTTTCTCTTCTCTTCTGCATAGGTACTACTTTGGGAAGACAGAGCACAAAGTCTTTGCAGTCTAAATGGGTTTGTGGGCCCCAATCTCTGATACCGTTGTTGATTCAACTTGGTGCAAGCCCCTCGCGGTGGCTTAAGAATGGGAAAGTCAGGCAGAGTGCCCAGATGGCAACTTGGGAGTAATCTTGTGATAATAACCACGTTTCCCAGCTGAATGCACAGGAGGTAAATCCTGTCCAGATCAGGGCCAATATTATTGAAAACCTTTGAACAGACATGACAGACTCTCCATGACACTCAGGAATGCTCCAATGAAAGTAACAGCATTAACTATGTTCTGAATGCTTAGAAAAGCAGAGGATTTGTGGGGGTGGGGGGATTTACAGATCATCACAGGTAGAACCTTGGTTTAGGATCATACAAAAAAAAAACAATTAACCTCAAAAGCTAAGAGGAAATGATGAGCAATGGGAAAACATTATTAAAATCTTGATTAAACATTGTGATAGTCTGAATTCCATTCGATAGGAAGAATATTGAAGTTTTAGAGAGAGTGTAATGTTGATTCACTGAAATGCTGTTTGGTACAAGGTCATAGGAGATCCAAAACACTTGAATAATTGTGTCCTTTTTTTGTTAGAACACCACCAACTGAGGTATCATAACATAAGTGATTAAAATATTGAAAAGATGGTATGGGTGAGACGTAACCAGCTGTTAAGAGATCAGAAAGGATGGTCATAGATAAATGATTAAATGCAGGAGCTTTAGAAAAGAAAGCAGAATAAACTTCTTTGCATAAGGAGTTATGAGGAAGAAACCATGGCAATATTCAAGGTTAGATTGGTTGGAGGTAAAAGGGGCACATGAAGGAATATGGAGACATGATGTTTAGAACCACTTGTGCTTGTGGGGAATAAATACCAACATGGACTGGTTGGGCCAAATGGACTGTTTCCATGTTATAACTTTTGTGTCAACATTGGAAAAAGTAACAGCAATGTGTGGCATACAATACCGTATTTTTTCATCTGGCAGCTGAATCTTGAGCTGGTGAAATAAGTTTCAACCCATTTAGAAAAACAGATTGACACATGAATACTTTCAGTTTTGCTTTGTGTCATATTTAATGGGCAAAATTCTGATACTCCATCCAGTATTCAAGCATCACTGATGTTGGATTTACATGACTTGTCAGCAAGACTGACTACACAATGAATGTTGCACTACAGCACCTCAGTCAAGCTCCCAGAACTCTATTGGCTAGATGTCACACAGGACTATGGATAATTAGCCTTGTGCAAATCGTGATACTGAGTGGGTAAAAACAGAATCAAATTTCAACATGATGCTCTGGATGACGAGAAAGTGCACGATAGCTGATTTCTTTCTTAAACCCAAGAACTCAAAAGAATTGGAGAACTCTTCTGCCTTTTGAGCTGGGTTAATTCCATATAGACCTGAAACATCTTATTCTGGAAGGCTAAATAACACAGTGGATAAACTCACCGAGCCAGAGAACAGTCTCTGAACAGTTTCAAATTCTGACCATTTTATTTACAAGATGAATTGACAATATGGTCACAAATTTGTCAATAAGTCCAGAAGGAAAGCTGTTTTGGCCCATCAACCCTCAGTCCTCTGTAATTAAACCGCTGAGGCTCTTCATTTCCTGACAGCGAAGGCAGTTCTTGTCAATGTTAATCCTGTTGTTGCACAATGGGATGGTTAGATTTGCACAGAACACAGCAGCTGAGACCTGACAAAGCACACGCTGTGTGAAGTGATGGGGCAATTCAGGAACTGAGACATGGGCAATGAGATTATCATGCCATACATTCATAAATCATGGTTTAGTAAAGGCTTCCAAAATAACATTTTCCTAGCTCAAGAAGAAATGACAATATAACTTTTTCAGTTGGAAAACAGTAAATAAGAAGCAAACCAGCATACACATATAGAGAGCTGAGAGAATGAAGAAAGATTATGAAGAATGGGGTAAAAACAATTAAATTTACAAAAGTATGAACCTCAAAATATTTTCTTTAATTCTCAAATAGTTAATCTATTGTACAAAAGGAAAAGAAAGCAGTAAAATGTTAAGACTTTGCTTAATGTTTCACACTGTTGGTAGCAGTCACTGGGTGTACGTTTAAGTGTAAAAGCAATCTTCATAAACTCTTCACCAGCCACCAAGATAACCTGTTACCCGGTACTATTCACTCTATCTCAGGAATAACACTGTCACACGCCCATGGTGGGCAAGAAACATGAGCACATTTAATGCCGTATAGTGTGCAGTTAGGACTTTTCCACATGCAGTAGCCAAATGGCTGTTTGAGGCTTTCACGTGGTTCCTAACTCTGAAGCAGCCAGCACTATTGAGAGGCTGTACTCGGGAAAACTAATCCCACAGAATGCCTTCCAGAAGCAAAAGCAGTAAAACTGGCAAGTGACATCTGATGTCTGACTCTTCTTGCATATATTTCAAAATTGTGGTCCAGTTTGACCAGAATCGTTCATTTCCAAGTATGACGTATTTTTCAGTAGTGTTTCCCTCCAGGAGCTGTCACATATATTACCACTGACCTCCTCAAACTCCATATTAAGGGACTTTCTCAATCGTGGCCACTTCTAACCTTCTGATCTGAGATTGACCTCAACCTCGCATTCCCCCCAACCTCGATCCAGATATCTCCAACTCCCAAACTCTAGGCCCCTGCCCTCAGAGCTCTCATCATCTATTGTCATACATTCCAAACCCCTCCCTCTTTGACAATCCCCACATGCTGCTGCTCTGCTCAAGTTTTCTGATTCCTGTTCCCTGGAGTGCTTTGATATCCAATCTTGAGGCCATCACTTATCTGTGAGCTACTATAATATTCTATAGTTCTTCTTCATTCACCTTCCTGGGTTCCTCCCACAGCCTAGTCCTTATTAGAATCAGGTCAGAGGCCCAACAGTCAGGGCTTCTCAGACCCTGCCATTCACAGTGCATGTAACTTGCGTTGGGGAATTGCCAAAATGTGCCAAATTCCCAGTATGTAGTATTTATTGAATCCATCATTTTACATTCCTATGTACAAGTTTTTCAGTTGACTCGTTGGAGAGTCTCAGATATGATTGCATGCATGCTCCTCCTCCTCCCTTATTAAAACAGTCACTCCCCAGAGTATGCTCATTAACTATCTCCCTACTTTGCATCTTTCCTTAATTTAGTTTTGATTTGTTTTGGCACTTGTTTTTCTTTCAGGTCAGTGGCTTTGACATTATTAATTGCAGTCAGCTTCCCAGCTCATTCATCATCTTCCATCTTCCCATCCTGGAGGGTTCCACTTGTCGACTATGTGTGATACACCTGTGCCTTAAGCTCATGCTATATTTATGCTCTCTCCCGCTCTCTGCTCGAAAACTGAGGTAAACATTACATGAGGCCCTGATGGACCCATTACAGGTTAACTCAATTGTCCTAATGCTACTAGAATGTTGAGGAGGATTAAAACAAAAGCAGTATGCCATCATATTATCACAGTGAATTGAGACATATATCTATTTACATCTGACAAATCTCAAAATAACAGCCATTTGTTTAACCATCATACTGCTTGGTGCTGCTCAGATCCAGCAAATTAATTTGGTCTAATTTATATTTGGATTCAACAGCATAACAAATCCTAAAATGCCTAGGCTGCCATGACATAGCACTCAGTGGCCATCTGGCTCTGCTGTGCACTGTGTTTGGTACAAACCGTGTAAAGGATCAAGGTAAAATCATGACGCTAAATTGCTGATTGGAAGGATAAATTCCAAATGTTCTGCTTTCTAGTTTAAAGGATAATGTTATCTACAAAGACAGTGTTTCATCAATATATCTTTTTGTCCTTTGTTACAGTAAAAGTCTTGAAACATGAAATTTTGTTTCATCATCCTTTCAGCTGTTAATTTTTCTTTTAAAAATTCATTTCCTGGTTATTGGTCTATAGGGAAATTGTAATCTTTTAACCTAATTTATTATAGCACACATTTTTCAGATTCTATTTTGTACATCCACTGCTCTCCTTGTTTTCATGCATCTTGCCAGTTTAACAAGTTTATAACCAGTTCTAACTTTTAAACAGAAGAGAAATAACCCTGGTCAATGGAGTTATGACTTGCAACACCTCTCCCTGAATCGGGCTAAAACTTTCACATACGTTCCTAGTTTCCTTATAGGAGTCATAGAGATGTACAGCACAGAAACAGACCCTTCGATCCAACTCATACATGCCAACCAGATATTCTAAATTAATCTAGTCCCATTTGCCAGCATTTAGCCCAAATCCCTCTAAATCCTTCCTACTCATATACCGTTCCAGATGCCTATTAAATGTTGTAATTGTACCAGCCTCCACTTCCTCTGGCAGCTTATTCCATATATGCACCACCCTCTGCGTGAAAAAGTTGCCCCTTAGGTCCCTTTTAAATCTTTTCCCTCTCACCTTAAACCTATGCCCTCTAGTTTAGGACTCCCCTACCCTGGGGAAAAGACCTTGGCTATTCACCCTATCCATGCCCCTCATGATCTTATTAACCTCTATGAGATCACCTTTCAACCTCCAACGCTCCAGCGAAAATAGCCCCAAGCTATTCAGCCTCTCCCTACAGCTCAAACCATCAAACCCTGGCAACATCCTTGTAAAACTTTTCTGAACCCTTTCAAGTTTAACAACATCTTTCCTATAGCAGGGAGACCAGAATTGCCCGCAGTATTCCAACAGTGGCCTAATCGATGTCCTGTATAGCTGCAACATGTCATCCCAACCCCTACACTGAATGCACTGACCAATAAAGGCAAGCATACCAAACCCCACCTTCACCGCTGTTGGTTAAGGCAGAAGATAACGGAAACTGATATGATGCTAAGAATAGGCTGTTATGTGAGTGGAATTACACTAAGTCAGTCAGGCCTGCCAAGAGTTAAAACTGCAGGAAATCACTAGCTGCTGTCTCTACCAGATAAGCCATACATTTGGACAAAATATTCAGGATTGGTCACGCGCATGGATAATTCCAAATAAGGCATGCACTTGGCACAGAGACTGGTGTATGAAGAGTCTGAAGAAGTCCCTTTGTTCACTAATACCTTGTAAGGAGGCACCCTATGTCAGGAGGCATGGTGAAGACACTGAGCAGAGTTTCAGCCTGGCCAGCTGCGAACTGTCTTGGGTAATAACGTTCGGGTTTAGTTACAGAAATCAGGGCAGTGAAAGACAGTGATTGATCCAGTAGTTAAATGTGTGTTATTTGTTTAAGCACATAATAATTTAATTGTTTTTTACAGAGCCCTAAGTATCTCCATTGTACCTTTGTCTATGTATGTATTGTTGTCTCTCAGGGACGGGCAACACTACCCTGTCAACCTGGGACTCCACCTTCAAGGCATTGTATATTTGCACCCCAAGGTCTCTTTGTTCGGCAATGCGCCCCAGGACCCTACCATTAAGCACCGAAGTCCTGCTCTGGTTTGCCTTACTGAATCACAACACCTCACATTTATCTAAACTAAATTCCATCTGACACCCTGTTGGCCCATCAGCCCATCTGATCAAGGTCCCATGGTACTATGAGGTAACCTTCTTCACTGTCAACCCCACCATCAATTTTGGTGTCATCTGCAAACTTTCTAACCATTCCTCTTGTATAAATTGTCTGGATGTGAACGTAAGTGACAAAAAGCAGTGGATTCAGCACTGACTCTTTTGGCACACCGCTGTTCACAGGCCTACAATCCATAAAAATATGTTCCACCATCACCCTCGGTCTCCTTCAAGCCAATTTTGTATCCTAATGGCTAGCTCTCCCTGGATTCCATGTGATCTAACCTGCGTACCATGTGGAACCTTGTCAAACACCTTGCTTAAGTCATTATAGTCAACATCTACCCGCTCTGCCTTCATCAATCTGCTTTGTCACTTCTTCAAAAAACTCAATCAAGTTAGTGAGACATGATTTCCCATACACAAAGCCACGTTGACTACCCTAATCAGTTTTTACCTTCTGAAATATATGTAGATCCTGTCCCTCAGAATCCCCTCCAACAACTTACCTACCACTGATGTCAGGCTCACCGGTCTATAGTTCCCTGACTTTTCCTTACTACCTTTCTTAAGTAGTGGCACCACATTAGCCAACCTACAGCATTCCAGCACCTCACCCGTGGCTATCGGTGATATAAATATCTAGCTAGGGGCCCAACAATCTCCTCCCTAGCTTCCCACAGAGTTCTAGGGTGCAGCCAATCAGGTCCTGAGCGTTTATCCACCTTTATGCGTTTTACGATGTCCAGCACCTCCTCCTCTGTATAGTATGGACACTTTTCAAGATATCACTATCTAGTCCTCCGAGTACTCTAGCTTCCATATCCTTCTCCACAGTAAATACTGATGCAAAATACTTGTTTAGTATCTCACATATCACCTGCGGTTCCACACATCGATAGCCTTGTTGATCTTTAAGGGGCCCTGTTCTCTCCCTAGCTACTCTTTTGCCCTTAATGATTTTTATACCATTTATCAGCCCCACATTCAAATCTGGATTTAAATATAATTAGTAATTTCTTATTTGAAACCTCATCAAAATGTTGTGACAATTCTAAATAAACTCTTATGATGTTTTACAACTTATTACTGTTGACATATTCAAAGATATAAAGTGGCTTATTAGGCAGAAATTTTCCCTGTTAAAGCAATATTGGCGGTTTCTTATTAAGCTGCTACTATTTATAATACTCCTCCCAGACAACTCTCCAAAATTGGTTCCACTACATTACTATTAAAATTTCACTTGCCTGCTTCAGATTGTAATAGTGCATGTCAGATTTTTTAAAAATTGGCAGGCATTTAAAGTTTGAAATGACAATGTTGCTGACAGTACACTGTAGGCCTCATATCAATGGACTTTGTGACTAACAATGCTGGGCAAGTCAACCTGAGAGAGAATTTTGTTATTGATTTGGAGGACCTTGTTGAGGCACCACCAATGGCACCTCTACAGTGCTTTGAGGTGCCTGCTACAGATTGTTCAAGTCTCTAAAGCACAAGGAGCATAGGGAGTATTGCTGTCCAGTAAACCACAGTCTTAGACTCAGGTGTGAAATCCTGCTTTTAAATACATATTCCCTGGTCAGTTGAATACTGAGCGGGTACATTGTAGACAATGAAGAAAAGTGTCACCTATGCCTGCCTTCAAGAAAACACAGAGAACGGTCCACACTTTTCAGGATCTTGCTGTTGATATTAATCAACAGGGGAAAGCTTTTTGCTGCGGGAGCTGATGGAACAGGACCTTAGTTTTATGAATGCTTAGTAAAAAGGTCGACTCATTTCAAGCCCCTACGTTTAACAAGCTTAAAAAATGATAATTCTGAGCAGCGTTAAGATTCTAATGTTCCATCCTAATAATGGCAGATTGGGAGGGGCACCAATTACAATTTCAAACAACAGATGTATGGATGGGAAGGGATCTATAAGTGAGGCAGAAACCCCTTCCTCCCAATTAACTGAATCGAGTTGGCTTGTCCTGGTCTGATTTACAGTTGGGAGCATTTTACTAGAAGTTGGCTCTTGTAAAAAAGATTCAAATGACAATGACAGAAACATTATGACACAAAACCAAAAAAAGGTCATCAATAGTATCAAAAATAAAATCAGGGCACTTTATATTAAGATGTTTAATTTGCAGTGAAAATTCATTGTATCTTGATTTTACAAATCGTTATCTAACTAATGAAATTACTTCCCTTGCTGCAAATTTGAAATGTTTTCAGCAGCACGTACGTACAGCAATAAAGCTCGACTACTGCAGACTACTGCCTACGAACAACAGGCTAATTCAGCAATTCACAGGTTATCAGGAGACCTTCATAATGTTGTTTACCAGAGTGCTATCAATTGCTTTTCCTTGAACCCTGACTCTCGGATGGAGGCAATCACCGGAAATCCAAATGTTTGGAACAAAATGCAATGTCACAAAGTGAATCAAGCAATTTAACAAGTTCATAATGTAGCACATGGGGAGAAACAAGTTCCCAAGACGACAATAAAAGCTTACATTGCAAGTGTTGAAGGTGAGGACACAGCACCCTGTTAGTTATTTATATATTGAACAGCTTGTGCTATTAACCTCCCACTAACAACATCATCTAAATAATATTTAGAAAGCAACACAAATGTTTTGTTCAATAAAATGGATTGGGGATACGGTAGCATTGTGGTAATGTCATTGCACTAGTCTGCCAGAAGGTCAGGTTAATGTTCCAGGAACACAGGCACAAATCACACCATTTTAATTTAATTCCAAAAAATGCAATGTAAAAATAAATCTGGAATTGAAAGTCTCAGCAATGCTGACCATGGTAAGTTTCATCTTTAACGTACTGGGTGGGTTTTACAATAAATGTCCTTTACGGAAGGAACACTGCTGTCCTTACCTGGTCTGTCCTGCATGTGACTGCATTTCCATAGCAATGTGTTTGCCTCTTAATTACCCTCTGAAATAACTGAGCAATCCACTTAGTTCAAGGACAAATACAGATGGTCAATAAATGCTTGCCTTGGCAACAGCATCCACACCCCATAGAGAAAAAAATAATTTCTGCAAATCAAAAAAATTATTGCAATAAAGCTGGATTGTTAAAACATAAAAACCTGGTTGGTTTCACGTAATTTAAGGAAGGAAGTCTGAAATCAAAATTCCAAGTAACTCCAATGCAGAACTTAACAAACCACAGAGTTGTGCATTCATTCATCAGACATTGCTGCTAAGATGGGAAATAAATGTGTAAAACGTGTTATCATATTTTTGCTATGGACTCCAAACATAGTTCCATTTGTAATTTTCTGAAGCCCTGGATCTGAAGAGATTTAAATCATTAAATTGTTCAGTCTTTTGTCATAGCTCACCAATCTGTTCAATGAAGCACCACAGAATCATACAGCATAGAAACAGACCCTTTAGTCCAACATGTCCATGCTGACTAGGTATCCCAAACTGAACTAGTCCCATTTGCCTGCATTTGGTCCATATCCATCTAAACCTTGCCTATTCATATATCTGCCTAAATGTCTTTTCCACCTGCCTCTACCACTTCCTCTGGCAGCTCATTCCATACACGCACCACCCCATGTGTGAAAAAGGTGCCCCTCAGGTCCCTTTTAAGTCCTTTGCCTCTCACCTTAAAACTATGCCCTCTAGTTTTGGACTCCCCAACCCTGGGGAAAAGACCTCGGCTATCCACTTCAATTATGCTCATGATTTTATAAACCCCTTTAAGGTCACCCCTCAGCGTCTGATGCTCCAGGGAAAAAAGGCTCCAGACTATCCAGCCTCTTCTTATACCTCAAACTGTCCAGTCCCAGCAACATCCTTGTAAATGTCTTCTTTCTAGTTTAACAACATCCTTCCTATAGCAGGGCAACCAGTATTGTGTACATGGTATTCCAAAAGTGGCCTCACCAATTTCTTGACCCGATTTTTGCCACAGGGGGGCACTAGCACAATACATGAGAGATTCTAGCAGCATCTAATGGAAAATACCACATCCAACAATGCTACATAAAGCAATTTTTGGCAAGTGAGCTTGTTTCAGGGTTATTATTTTGTGAAATATCACTCTCACATTGGTTTCTAAGAGGTGCGTGCATTTGATAACAGTCTGGGATGGCCCTCCCTGTTAACAAGTACCCATTTAGAACTGCCTGCAAACAAGAATAAGTCACAACAAGTGCAATTCTGATCACAAGTTATGTATTGTATGTTGAGATAGAAAATACCATGTTATAAAGTGAACCTATTTCAAACATAATGCCACCTCCGGCTCCCCTCCTCCAATCTTTCATTCCAACATGGCACTGCAACATGCCTGGAAAATTCACCAGACAATGAATCCTTTTAAATTCAACGTTTCCATTAAACTGTTGCTAACCAACTGGAGCAGACTGTCATTATGGAAACGTGTTCCCATTCCTGCTGCATCCTTGTTACTGGCTGTCACAATATATATTCCAACAAATGAATATGAACAATACCAGTTATAGGAGTTACATCACTAGGATGGAAAAGAATTGAAAGTCCGCACCCAAAGAAAAGAAAAATCTTGTAAAATGATACAGAGACCCAACTGTAGGCAGCACAGTGTGTGGATGAAGCTGCAGTGACAAGAGGCCAAGCTGCGATTCAGGCTCAAAAAACACTTTCTCCATTTCTCCTTCTAAAAAGGTGGTGAAGCAGTAAAGGAAAATTAAGTCAGATTCCATCACCTCCACAGCAACAGTGAGGGCCCACACAGACTGTGAATTAAAATGCAATAGAAGGATGAAATTACAGATTCAAAATATTTAGATTTAACACAGACAAACATATGGGCACTTTTTTTGTTGTCCATGGCAACGTTTATAACGATAGGGAAATATAAAATAAAGAATAATCAATATGCATTATAATTCTCTGAACTATGCAAGTCACACAATGAGTGCAAGCACAGTAGCACCATCTGTTGTGATTGCAGATATGGTTTGCAGCTTATTCTATTCAGTACGAAGTCAATACTGAAGTCACAAGCAATTACTCAGAAACAGTTGTACACAGCCCTGTAATTATGGAATGGAACAGTATCATACAAGCACTAAATACATTTATCGGAAATACCCTTTCCCAGCTTTTTTTGCTAAGATGTTGATTCTTTAAAAAGAATTCAGAGTTGCCAACATGGACAGGACAATTTCAAACGTTGCTTCAACAGCATCCCAAAGCAAAATACATTGCATTTGACTTGAGTGCGTGCATCTACATCGTGTTAATGCACAACTGATGCATGCAAATCCTACTAGGAGGTCAACAGAGGTGAATTAATTATTTAAATGAATGCACTTGTTACAGAATTTAGAGATGTTGTAAAGGCAACATCAGCGTTTGTACAGAAATATATGTGGTGTTGGATTCTGTACAAACTCTTCATCTTTTGCAGTTAGGCAAGGAAAGGAAAAACAATTTAATCCCTGTTCTAGAGAACCAAGCAAAATTGAATTCTTTTCATTTTCAGATTTGATTCTATTAATTCTTTTGACAAATCACTTAAAGTAACACAATCTCAGTGCCATACATTAGTTAATGGACAATTATATTTTAAAGACTTAATTAAAAAACTGAATGCCAAGAAATTTAACAAGACGGAGCTCAATATACCGGGTAGGATATAAAATCTTATTCAAAGTCAAGTTTCACACCATGCACAATGGACATTATATTCATGTAAAACACAGTTAAGTTTAATTTTTAAAATGGGAATCACACTTGTAAAGGAAGGTTTTGACCTGGAGTTTAATTATGTAAATTTATATTAGAATTCTTGTAAGTATGATAGGTACATATTATTTCTGCCTAAAATAAGTTTCTCAGTCCCAACTGCTTTCAATGACTACTGCAAAATGAATCTCTCCTCCCCCTAGACAAATAAATTCAAACATACGATAACAGATTCAATACACATATGGCCAAAATGCAGAAGATTCACAGCTGAGTAAATATCACAATGATCATTAATGCATTTGTGAATTTCAGCTGTTTGATTAATATTTCAGCCTGCACGAAACTCCTCCCTATTATGGCTACCAGAGTTTAGGAGGGATGAGGTTAATAATTAAAAATCATGAATGACCCACATAATCAACCTGTGCCATTTTTGCAGATCCCAGCTTCTCATTGTTGAACTTCCTGCCAGTCAGCAGACAGGCTGACAATCTAGACACCTCTCAGGCAGGAAATGATAATGAGATCCTGTCAATAATGTCATATAAAAGCCAAGACCCCAAGCTATCAGAGTTTTCCCTTTCTACTGCAGTCTCCCGTATTTCAGCACATCAGCTCATCAGCGTCAATATCTCTTTAATAAACTTATAGGTACTTCAGGTTTTGCTCTGGTTGGACATCGTTAGGATTCATCAAGCAAGTCATACACTCCCAACTGGATCCTCACTTTAAGTTACATTTGTCAGATGTATGTAGAACTCCACGATAAATTTCACTCACCACACAAAAGCACGGGGTTGCAGTACAAACTAACAAACAGCTCAGGGGAATCACAAAGCTACTTCCAATAAGTTGAGAGGCAAGGTTGTCTCACCTGATTAAAAAAACAAGATGTACGTTCCTGCATAGAAATTAACATCATTCTTCTTCCCTCACAGTAAATTACATGTGCTTGAAATCCTCCGTGGAGTCTTTAAATGTGGTTGAGTTGATATTTATAAACGACTGCAATTTACATTCATTCATCAGTTCCACTTTCAGGATGAATGCCTTTGCAAATAGGTTAAGATTCATTATACTTCAAGTGATTTTGTTCAATAACATATTTTGAATAAAAATAGAAAGCAAAGTGTATAATAACATTTAACAATACACGTACTCAGGACTCAAGTTTCACACAAATGAATCAAAAAATAACGTTATCGAACAGAGACTCTGCAGGATTGAACTTGTGATTTAGTTACAAGAACGGAAAGAACTGCGGATGCTGTAAATCAGGAACAAAAACAGAAATTGCTGGAAAAGCTCAGCAGGTCTGGCAGCATCTGTGAAGAAAAAAATCAGAGTTAATGTTTTGGGACCTGTGACCCTTCCTCAGAACTGGTTTAGTTTTGCTGCTTAACACATTTATTTTAATTCTCATAACAAACAGCAAGAACTAAATTAATTGAGCCTCAGACAAAGTAGTCCAATTCCTAAGGAAATTTTCATTATTAGTGCCCTGAAAAACAAATTATGCTGGCACACTTATGAACAGATCTTTCTTATATTAGAGTTGATCTTTCTCTGCACCTTCTCTGTCGCTGTAACACCATATTCTGCATTCTGTTCTATTACCCTGAGGTACATGTGTGAGGTATGATTTGTCTGGTTAGCACACTAAACAATACTTTTCACTGTATCTCGGCACGTGACAATGATAAATCAATAATTAACTAATGTCATCTCTGGCTTATCCATCTGGTTGGTTAGTGACAGACAGGGCCTTCCCATTATCAGTTAGGTTACAATTTGGTGCTTGTGGGAAATTTCTGACAATGATGCAGTCTGCCAAATGAACTTGACAATCTGCTCAGGGAACCTTCGACAGCATTCACAATCTCTCTTTCAGGCAGGACCTCTGTCCTTGGAAAACAGACAGGATCTCCAACAAATATGTAGTGACTATCCCTGATCAATCACTGCCTTTCCAAGTATGATTAATCCTGATTTTTTTCCCCAAAAGTTTCCCTACCAATGACATCAGACTAACTGCTCTGTAATTACCTGGGCTATCCCCACTGCCCTTCTTGAACAAAGGGACCACATTCGCTACCATCCAATCATCCGGCACTTCACCTGCAACCAGCGAGTATTAAATACACTTCACCACAGCCACACACTCAGCTTTTAGCACATGTCCCAAGTCCTCCAGAGCCTATTCCAAGCAC